AGCAACATAAGGATTATAGGTATTCCAGAGGAAGAAGAGAGGGAGAAAGGAGCCGAGAGCCTGTCCAAGAAAAAATTGCTGAGAACTCCCCAAATATGAGGATGGTTTCCAATTTACAGATAAATTAAGCTAATCGAATGCCCAACTTCATCAATGCTAAAAGATCCTCTCCAAGGCATATAATAGTAAAAATGGCAAAAGTTTGGGATAAGGAAAGAATATTAGGAACAGCAAGGCAGCAGAAAATAACCTATAAAGGAAACCCTATCAGGCTTTCAGCAGAGTTCTCGGCAGAAACCCTACAGGCTACGGGAGAATGGAATGATATATTCAAAATACTGAAAGACAAAAACTTTCAGCCAAGACTACTCTATCCAGCGAAACTTTCCTTCAGATACGATGGAGCAATAGAAGCTTTCTCAGATAAACAAAAGCTGAGGGAGGATATCACCACAGTCCTCCCCTACAAGAAATAATTAAAGATGCCCTCATACTGGCAACAAAAAGGGAAAGGTATACAAAGCTCTGAGCAAGGAGATAAATAAATGGACGTGATGAGAAATCTGCAGCTCTCCACCAGAACAGGGAGGCAAAGGCTCAATTACAACTTAAAGAGAAAGAGAAAGAAAGCATCCAAAGTAACGATGCACACTTCAACTCAGCCACACACTCGGGAAATTGCAAACAGAACAAGGTGTAACAGCAATGACTCAGAGGGGAGAGGAAAGGGAAGGAACCTGGTTAGGCTAATGGAAATAAGAGGCTATAAGAAAATGGACTATCTCATCTGCAATATCTTTCATACAATCCACATCATAAACACTAAACAAAAAATCGGAGCAGAGCCACAATTCAAAAAAAAGAGAGAGCACTGAGAAATCCCTCTCAGAAAACCAACAAAATGAAATGGCAGTCAGAAATACAAAGGGGGAGCAGCCCTGTGTCCATGTGGTTAAGTTCATGTGCTCCACTTCTGCAGCCCAGGGTCTCACTGGTTCGGATCCTGGGCGCAGACATGGCACCACTCATCAGGCCATGCTGAGGCCTCATCCCACATAGCACAACCAGAAGGACCCACAACTAAAATATACAACTATGTACTGAGGGTATTTGGGGAGCAAAAGCAGAAAAGAAAAGATTGGCAACAGCTGTTAGCTCAGCTGCCAATATTTTTTAAAAAAGAAAAAGGAAGAGAAAGGGTGGAAACACAGAACAAGCAGAACACAAGAGATAAAATGGTAGCATTAAGCCCTCCTACAACAATAATCTCTTGAAATGTAAGTGGATTGAACTCTCTACTCAAAAGGCACAGAGTAGCTTGATGGATTAAGAAACAAGACCCAACAGGGGCTGGCCTGGTGGCACAGTGGTTAAGTTCCCATGTTCTGCTTTGGTAGCCTGGGGTTTGCCACTTCAGATCCTGGGTGCAGACATGGCACTGTTTGGCAAGCCATGCTGTGGTAGGCATCCCACATATAAAGTAGAGGAAGGTGGGCACAGATGTTAGCTCAGGGCCAGTCTTCCTCAGCAAAAAGAGGAGGATTCGTGGCAGATGTTAGCTCAGGGCTAATCTTCCAAAAAAAAAAAAAAAAAAAGAGACCCAACAATATGCTGCCTCCAGGAAATGCACCTCAGCTTCAAAGACAAACATAGGCTTAGAGTGAAGGGATGGAAGACAATACTTCAAGCTAATGGCCAATGAAAGAAGGTAGATGTTGCCATACTTTTAACAGACAAAGCAGGCTTGGTTTTAAAAAAGACAATGAGAGACAAAGAGAGGCAGTATATAATGATACAAGGAACATTCCACCAAGAGGACATAACACTTATTAATATATATGCACCTAACACAGGGGCACCAAAGTACATAAAGCAATTATTAACAGACCAAAAGGGAGAAATCCACAGCAACACAATAATAGTAGGGGACCTCAACACCCACTTACTTCAATGGACAGATCATCCAGACAAAAAGTCAAGGAAATAGATTTAAATGAAACACTTGACCAGATGGACTTAATAAACATATATAGAGCATTCCATCCAAAAACAGTAGAATAACATTCTTCTCAAGTGCCCATGGCACATTCTCAAAGATAGACCATATGTTGGGTAACAAGGTAAGCCTCAACAAATTCAAGAAGATTGAGATCATCCCAACCATCTTTTCTGATCACAATGCTCTGAAGCTAGAAATCAACCACAAGAACAAAACTGGGAAAGTCAGAAATATATGGAGACAACGTGCTATTGAACAACCAAGGGATCATTGAAGAAATCAAAGAGGAAATTTAAAAGTACTTGGAAACAAATGAAAATACAACATAACAACTCTTAGGGGATGCTGCAAAAGCGATCATAAGAGGGAAATTCATAGCAACACAGGCCCACCTCAACAAGCAAGAGAAATCTCAAATAAGTAATCTTAAAATGCACCTAATACAGCTAGAAAAAGAAGAATAAACAAAGCCCAAAGTCAGCAGAAGGAGGGATATAATAAAAATCAAAGCAGAAATACATGAAATAGAGACTGAAAAAACTGTAAAAAGGATCAATGAAACTAAGAGGTGGTTCTTTGAGAAGATAAACAAAATTGACAAATCCTTAGCCAGACTCACCAAGAAAAAAAAAGAGAAGGCTCAAAGAAGTGAAATTAGAAATGAAAGGGGAGAAATAACAACAGCTACTGCAGAAATACAAAGGATTATAAGAGAATACTATGGAAAGCTATATGACCACAAATTCAGTAACCTAGAAGAAATGGATGAATTCCTATACTCATACAACCTCCCACAACTGAATCAATTAGAAACAGAGAATCTGAACAGACCAATCACAAGTGCAGAGGTTGAAAGAGTAATCAAAAACCTCCCCAAAAACAAAAGTCCAGGACCACATGGCTTCTCTGGGGAATTCTACTAAACATTCAAAGAAGATTTAGTACCTATCCTTCTCAAACTATTCTGAAAAATTGAAGAAGATGGAACACTTCCTAACACATTCTATGAGGCCAACATCACCCTGATACCAAAACCAGACAAGGACAACACAAAGCAGGAAAACTACAGGCCAAGATCACTGATGAACTTAGATGCAAAAATCCTCCACAAAATATCGGCAAACTGCATACAGCAATACATTAAAAGAATTGTACACCACAATAAAGTGGGATACAGTCCAGGGGTGCAAGGATGATTCAAGGATGAATCAAGATGATTCAAGATTGATCTGCAAATCAATCAATGTGATACACCACGTTAGCAAAATGAGGGAAAAAAATCACACGATCATCTCAATAGATGAAGAGAAAGTATTTGACAAGATCCAAAATCCATTTATGATAAAAACTCTCAATAAAATGGGTACTGAAGGAAAGTGCCTCAACGTAATAAAGGCCCTATATGACAAACCCACAGCCAACATCATATTTAATGGCAAAAAACTGAATCCCTCTGAGAACAGGAACAGGACAACTGTGTCCGCTATCACCACTCCTATTCAACATAGTACTGGAGGTATTGGCCAGAGCAATTAGGCAAGAAAAAGAAATAAAAGAAATCCAAATTGGAAAGGAAGAAGCAAAACTTTTGCTATTTGCTATTTGATATGATTCTCTATGTAGAAAACCCTAAAGAATCCGCCAACAAACTACTAGAAATAATCAACAACTACAGCAAAGTTGCAGGGTACAAAATCGCTTTTAAAAAATCAGTTGCATTCCTATACACTAACAATGAACTACCAGAACAAAGAAAGCAAGAATACAATCCCACTTACAATCACAACAGAAAGAATAAAATACCTAGGAATAAATTTAACAAACGCAGTGAAAGACCTGTACACTGAAAACTATAAGTCATTATGGAAAGAAATTGAGGAAGACAGAAAGAGATGGAAAGATATTTCATGCTCATGGATTGGAAAAATAAACATAGTCAAAATGTCCACACTACCTAAAACAATCTACGGATTCAATGCAATCCCAATCAGAATCCCAATGTCATTCTTCACAGAACTAGAGCAAAGAATTCTAAAATTTACATGGAACAAAAAAGACCCCAAATAGCCAAAGCAATTCTTAGAAAAAAGAACAAAGCTGGAGGCATCACAATCCTTGACTACAAAGCTAGAGTAATCAAAACAGCATGGTTCTGGCACAAAAACAGACAAACAGATCAATGGACCAGAATTGAAAGCCCAGAAATAAAACCACACATCTATGGACAGTTTATCTTTGACAAAGGAGCCAAGAACATACAACAGAGAAAGGAAAGTCTCTCCAATAAGTGATGTTGGGAAAACTGGACAGATACATGCAAAAGAATGAAAGTAGAACATTATCTTGCACCATACACAAAAATTAACTCCAAATGGATTAAAGATTTGAATGTAAGAACTGAAACCATAAAACTCCTAGAAGAAAATATAGGCAATACACTCTTCGACATTGGTCTTAGCCATATCTTTTCGAATACCATGTCTACTTGGGTAAAGGAAACAAAAGAAAAAGTTAACAAAAGGGACTACATCAGACTAAAAACCTTCTCCAAAGCAAAGGAAACCATCGACAAAATGGAAATACAACCCACCAATATGGGAGAAGATATTTGCAAATCATTTATCAGACAAGGGGTTGATATCCAAAGTATATAGAGAAGCCACACAACTCAACAACAACAACAAGAAAACAAACAACCCAATTAAAAAACGGGCAAAGGATTTGAACAGAAATTTCTCAAAGGAAGATATATGGATGGCCAACAGGTACATGAAAAGATGCTCAACATCACTAATCATTACGGAAACGCAAATCAAAACTACAATGAGATATCACCTTACACCAGTCAGAATGTCTGTAATTACCAAGACCAAAAACAACAAATTTTGGAGAGGATGTAGAGAAAAGGGAACCCTGTTACACTGCTAGTGGGAATTCAAACTGGTGCAGCCACCATGGAAAACAGTATGGAGATTCCTCAAAAAACTAAAAACAGAATTACCATATGATCCAGCGTCAGGCAGTCCACGCAGGGTCCACTGTGGATGTGCCCTGGACCTCCACTGCAGAGAGTTCATGTCCCCTGGACACAGCCCATCTATGAAATTATAAACCTCTCCTGCCTCCATGGTCATAAGACCCACTAAATTTAGAGAGGACTCAGAAAGGTCAGTGGCTATTTATAACCCCACCCACAGAGATCGTGGCTGGCTGCTAAGGGGGTTCTTCCAGCCCAGGATTACACTGTAGTTATCAGACAGGCCAGGGGGCCCCCTGGAGGAAACCCCCTCACAGGGGAAATAGAGGGCCAGACCCTCTCCCAGGCCCTCCTGCAAATGACCAGGAAGAGGCTCTGCTCGAGGCTGACACTCAAGGATGAATAGGAGCAATTTTAGAGGTGTTTCCTCCTAAAGGTAAATGGTCAAAAATGGAATTATGCACTCAGAATGAGGGGAACATCCATAAGCCTTTGTTGAACACCTATATAAACTTTTCAAAGGCACAGTGCATTAAACCCGGAAGCCCCAGAGCACAGGAATCTCCTAATTCCTGCTTCAGTAGGAAATTTTCTTCCTGATATCAAAAAACAAATTCCAGATAGTGTGGTTGATGTGTCAGGGCAGCCATTAAGTGTAATAATGGAGGCTGCTACACAGTTCTTTGAAAATAGTCGGCATCAAAGTAAAAGAAAAAAAGAATTATGAGCAACTCTTCTTGCTTTTCAACTTGAATCTCTAGAGAAGCGAAACTGTAACTGTGAGAGTCAACTGAAGCCACTCAGAGGGCTCCCTATTCGCCTCCAGACACTTGCAGTTCTCGCAGGAAACCAGGGCATTGGAGAGAGATTTTCCTGCTCTTAAGAGAAGGGGAAGTTGGAAAAATTGCCCCATTGGCCCCAGCTCCCCCAGTAGACTCACTTTTCTCCTCCTGAGGGGCATTTCCCCCTTAAATGATGGGGTCAGCTGATCCTCAGTCACTGCCCTGAGCCACCACTAAACTTAAAATAGAGGATCGGGAACTGGATTTCTTAAGGGACACTGGTGTGACTTTCTTTACTCTCCCTTCAGAGGGTTTATCTGTACCCGTCCACTCTGATTCTGTTCAAGCTGTTGGAGTCTCTGGACAGCCTATTTCATGGCCCAGATCCCAGCCACTCCCACATCTTTAGACCCTTAACACTCATCCTGCCTCTCTAGTCTCCCACTGTTCCACCTTCTTGGCAGAGGTTAGTTATGTAAATTTAATGCCGCTAGAAATTGTAATGACAAAGGCATTTTCACCTCCCTGCCCTGGGACCAAACCCCAAGTCTCCTACTTTCCTTGTTAGAAACTCATCCTGATTTAAATTCTCCTGAAGAGGATGAGTCTTTAAATATGTCCCCAAGAGTCTCTGGGCTACATATGCCAATGAAGTAGGATTGTTACCACGCACATTACTTGGAAAAATGATGAACCATGTCCGTCAGTAGCCCATTACCCTCTCTCCGTAGATGCAGAGTGAGGAATTGAATCTATAGTACACTTTCTTTCGCATCAGGGTTTACTCAACTTACTTCCTCACCCTGTAATACTGATGCCTGCCCTGATGTCAGTTCCCCTACATTAAGCCCAGCATATGTGTGGTTAAACCCAAGGCACTCTTGCCCTGCTCACTCCCTGGCTCCCTGGCTGCAGAATCCACTATCTGCCATGGAGACAAACAGCCAAGGACAGCCACCTGGATTCCATATCATCTCCTTCTCATTCTTGCAAGCAGTGTCCCAAGGCTGAAGGCAGGCTCGTGGGAAAGCTCCGACCAGCAAGGCCACTGACTCCCACATGCCACAAGCAGACACATTTCTCACAAACCTTTAAAGCCCCTGGCTCCCCATCTTTCAGGGAGATGAGATGAAATGAGACAAATTTGAGGGCTCACTCTCACCTCCCAGCTGATATAATCTGAAATAAAAACCTTTTCCTTGCCTGGTGTTCCAGTTTTTATTTGGCCCATCTTGTGTGGCAGGTAGGGAACCTATGTCTGTAGGCACTAACAATACTGCAGTCTTGACTGAAAAAAGAAGACAAGTTTGACACACATGGAACCAAATCTATAGATTTGTACAGACTTCAGAGCCATAAAGTCTTCTGTATTCCTTGGCATCCCTGGCCCCTGATCCAGCCGTCATCCTGATTCAGTTCCTGATGGTGCAGCCTGAGTGACAAGAGTTGGACCCTCCCCAGCTCTCTTGTCAATCCCACTGCAGCCTAACTCACAAGTTCATTCTGCATTTACATTTAAAGGGAGGCCATTCACATGGACTCGCCTTCCTCAGGGATATTGTGAGACCCCCTCATATTTTCCCCAATCCTACAGCCCACCTGGAGTCTGTAGCCTTCACTCAAGGCTCTGCTGCTGTTCAGTGTGTAGATGACCTTCTACTCTGTAAGCAGAGTAAACAGGGAGCCCTTACAGACCCCTCACTCTCCTGAAGGCACGAGCTGCTCGAGGCCATAAAGCCTCCAGATCTGAACCTCAGTGGGTGCAGATGACTGGGACCTACTCGGGACAGGAGCCATGTCAAGGCATTCAACAGCTCACCCCAAATGCCTTGAGTCCATTTGGTCCACCCTGCACCCCAAAATGAAGAAACAGCTACGTAAATATCTAGGGGCAGCTGGTTACCGCCCCAGCGGATTCCTGATGTTGCAGCCCTTGCTAACCCTCTGTGTGCTCTTCTCCCAGACATTACCCCACAGCCTATTTCCTGGCCTTCAGAGCCATGAAACTCCTGTGAAGCCCTAACATTAGCTTTGTCCATACTCCCAGTTCTCTGCTTACCTATTTTTTTTAAACTTTTCATTAAGATTATGATAGTTTACAACCTTGTGAAATTTTAGTTGTACATTATTGTTAGTCATGTTGTAGCTGCACCACTTCATCCTTTTTACATTCACCCCAGCCCCCATTTCCCCTGGTAACCACCAATCAATTCTCTTTGTCTCTATGTTGAACTTCCACCTATGAGTGGAGTCATACAGAGTTCATCTTTCTCTGTCTGCCTTATTTCGCTTATAATAGCTTCAAGGTCCATCCATGTTGTTGTGAGTGGGATGATTTTGTCTTTTTTATGGCTGAGTAGTATTCCATTGTATATATATACTACGTCTTCTTTATCCACTTCTCAGTTGATGGGCACTTAGGTTGCTTCCACGTCTTGACTATTGTAAATAATGCTGCAATGAACATAGGGGTGCATGGGACTTTTGGAATTGCTGATTTCAGGTTCTTAGGATAGATACCCAGTAGTGGGATGGCTGGGTCACAAGGTATTTCTATTTTTAAATTTTTGAGAAATCTCCATACTGTTTTCCATAGTGGCTGCACCAGTTTGCATTCCCACCAACAGTGTATGAGGGTTCCTTTTCCTCCACAACCTCTCCAACATTTGTCACTCTTGGTTTTGGATGTTTTTGCCATTCTAACAGGTGTAAGGTGATATCTTAGTGTAGTTTTGATTTGCATTTCCCTGATGATTAGTGATGATGAGCATCTTTTCATGTGTCTGTTGGCCATCCTTACATCTTCTTGGGAGAAATGTCTGTTCATATCCCCTGCCCATTTTTTGATCGGGTTCTTTGATTTTTTGTTGTTGAGCTGTGTGAGTTCTTTGTATATTATGGAGATTAACCCTTTGTTGGATAAATAACTTGTAAATATTTTTTCCCAATTAGTGGGCTGTTTTTTTGTTTCAATCCTGTTTTCCCTTGCCTTGAAGAAGCTCTTTAGTCTGATGAAGTCCCATTTGTTTATTCTTTCTATCATTTCACTTGTCTGAGGAGTTATGGTGTCTGAAAAGATTCTTTTGAAACTGATGTCAAAGAGTATACTGCCTATATTCTCTTCTAGAGGACTTATTGTTTCAGGCCTAATCTTTAGGTCTTTGATCCACTTTGAGTTTATTTTTGTGAATGGTGAAAAATAATGGTCAATTTTCTTTCTTTTACATGTGGTTGTCCAGTTTTCCCAGCACCATATGTTGAAGAGACTTTCTTTTCTCCATTGTAGGCCCTCTGCTCCTTTGTCGAAGATTAGCTGTCCATAGATGTGTGGTTTTATTTCTAGGCTTTCAATTCTATTCCATTAATCTGTGCACCTGCTTTTGTACCAGTACCATGCTGTTTTGATTACTGTAGCTTTCTAGTATGCTTTGAAGTCAGGGATTGTGATGCCTCCCGTTTTGTTCTTCTTTCTCAGGATTGCTTTAGGAATTCGGGGTCTTTTGTTGCCCCATATGAATTTTAGGATTCTTTGTTCAATTTCTGTAAAGAATGTCATTGGGATTTGATTGGGATAGCATCGAATCTGTAGATTGCTTTAGGTAGTATGGACATTTTAACTATGTGTATTCTTCCAATCCATGTGCATGGAATGTCTTTCCATCTCTTTATGTAGTCATCAATTTCTTTCAGGAAAGTCTTGTAGTTTTCGCTGTATAGATCTTTCACTTCCTTGGTTAAATTTACCCCAAGGTATTTTATTCTTTTTGTTGTGATTGTGAATGGGATTGAGTTCTTGAGTTCTTTTTCTGTTAGTTCATTGTTAGTGTATAGAAATGCTACTGATTTATGTACGTTGATTTTTCACCCTGCAACTTTGCTGTAGCTGTTTATTATTTCTAATAGTTTTCCTATGGATTCTTTGGGGTTTTCTACATATAAGATCATGTCATCTGCAAACAGCGAGAGTTTTACTTCTTCATTGCCTATTTGGATTCCTTTTATTTCTTTTTCCTGCCGAATTTCTCTGGCCAACACCTCCAGTACTATGTTGAATAAGAGTGGTGAGAGTGGGCACCCTTGTCTTGTTCCTGTCCTCAGAGGGATGGCTTTCAGTTTTTGTCCATTGAGTATGATGTTGGCTGTGAGTTTGTCATATATGGCCTTTATTATGTTGAGGTACTTTCCTTCTATACTCATTCTATTGAGGGTTTTTATCATAAATGGGTGTTGGATCTTGTCAAATGCTTTCTCTGCATCTATTGAGATGATCATGTGGTTTTTGTTTCTCATTTTGTTAATGTAGTGTATCACATTGATTGACTTGCGGATGCTGAACCATCCCTGTGT